CCCCCATCCCCCCCCCGCCCCCCTCCCTCCCCCCTACCACTCTCTTGCTTCTATAAATAGAGAGGGTGTGAGGCTTAGGAGAGCAAGGGAAAAAATCTTAAGGGTGTAAGGCTTAGGAGAGGAAAGGGAGAAGATATCTTAGGCTACCACAAAGGAGGAGAGAATAGCTATAGAGTTAGAGAGGAGGAGAGCATCTTGAGGTCTTGTATCAAGGTGTCGCTTGAGAGGGAGGCCATAGAAGGAAGATGAGGGCTCATCTCTATGTATAAGTTATGTATTCTCCATTTCTTTTGCCTTAGTGAAATATTTGATTGATTCCCTTCCGTGGACGTAGATCCAGTTGGATCGAACCACGTAAACGATATGTGTTTGCTTGTGTTCTTTTTCGTCTCATTTCTATGCCAGGAAGTACATATCTCACAACAATCTACAAGAGGTTAGAGATTTATGTTTTTTATATACAAGCAAGCTCTAAATTCTTAACAATTATTAGTTAATTTAGCTGATATGAAGTTGAGCATACCTTGCCAACATTTCCAGAATCTGACAACCAATCTGTTGGAATTCCAAATTCCCTGTAACGTGATATAGCCATATCACGAGTACGTAGAAGCGCATAGACACTTTGCTCCACTCTGAAAGGAATGTAAAGATTAATGAAGCAAGCATGAAATGAACATACACTCATTCAACGGAAGGAGGTCACTTACTTCTCAAGCAAAGAATACATCTTCTTAAGAGCAGCTTCACATGGAAGCTTAGGATCATCAATAAAAGATGACACCTGGTTCTCCAGCTTCATCAGATCTTGGTACTCGAATGCTGCCTCTCTTAAAGCATCAGCTTTTCCCTCTGGCCAATCGAAGTGCTTAAGAACAGCTCTTTCATCAACCTATTAATTGTATACAAACCATTACAAAGACTGAGTACTAGTAGTTCTAATTAAGTCTCTCTCAATAAAGGGATATGACAATACCAAAAACGAGAGCTCTTCATCCAGCCAGTTCACAAAGGCAACAAGATCATCTATATTTGTAAAGGAAGCTGCCCGAACCTCATTTGCCAATGACTGGACAAAATCACCCTGTGTCTCCACATCAGCTTTCACCTGAATCCAGATTCAAGTATTCACATAATTTCCAAGTAGGACAACCAAACCATATTGAGAAAGCTATTAAATTTCATAAGGTAATGCTTACAGCCAAAAGGAATGATGATTTGTTAGCGATCTCTCCAATCATGTTACTTCTGGCATCGACTGCAGTGGAGTTTGTGGAAGGAATAGAGGTGAGCTCCTTCCTGGCTTCACGTTTCATCAATGACTGGTAGAACTCGACCAACTCAGGGGCCCGGTGAACTTTATCCCCACCAATTGAACCTTTTGATATGCTTCCTGGAGGAGGAGGAGGCCTTGGTGCTACACCTAACGGAGGTGGTGGCGGCGGCGGCAGAGGTAGACCAGGTGGTAATGGTGGAGGTGCCTCTGGTGGAGATGGAGCAGCACCTGATGTTTTGACAGTTTTGTTATCAGTACTAGCAACACTCCTTGACGATTTGGGAGGTGGTCTAGGAACCCTTGGAGGCCTCTTCTCGATCTCTGCCAGTTTCATCTTGCTAACTACTGGGCTAATAATCTTGTTCTCATCAGACTCACTAAGTTCACTTCCACCTAAAGGTCCAACTTTCTCCTTTATCAGAGCAAGCTTTGGTGGCAATATTACAGGCTTCTCCTTATCCCCCATAGCTCTGAACTCATAGTTCATACTAAAACGAGCTGACTCTCCACCAAATCGTTCTGCTCGTGCTTGATCAACCTTCTCCTTGATCATTTTCTCTCGCTCCATTGCTAATTTGTGGCGATCCTTAAATGCAGGGTATTTTTCGTCAGCCAGACTTTCAACAGACTTGGACATCAGCTGAAACGAAGCAGCAACACTATTTAATGAGTCATTTGAATCAACCCGTGCTCTAATTGGTGGCAAGTTATGTTCATTCAAGTGCTCAATTTGATCTTCATCATTTTTCCCATATGTAGTAATGGAGTTGCCATCTCCAGCATTCCTAAGCATCAGAACTTCCAATGGACCCCGGGGAGCAGATGACCCGAAGCTGGCGCTGCTCCGCATTGGTGAAACTGCCCCTTGAGACAGAGTTGGCGAGGCCAAGACATTATCATCCTTGCTCTTGCCCCATCTCTTCATCTTTTGGAGAAGGCCTGGCTTTTTACTTAAATAACTGAATCTGCTGGAAGAGCTATCCATAGAGGCATTCTCAAACTCTTCGCTTCCAGGAGATGATGGCATGGATGATAAACTTTCGAAATCAGTGTCTCCCTGATCTCGTTCAGATCCAGCATACTCTAGCAACAACCGTTTGGCCCTTTCCTTGGACTTCGGACTCAAGCTCTTGCTGAGATCACGAGCTGTGGTCTTGCCCGCTGGCTTTTGATAATTCCTTAGTTCATATCTCAAGCAGGCATTAACCCAGCGAAGGTAAACCAATTCCTCTACTTCGCTGAATCTGTTCATCTGTAGGCCTTCCACTTGCTTGATAAGGTCTTCATTGGCATGCCTCAAACGTTTGATCTCCTCCCATTCCTTGTTGACTTGCTCGCTCTGCATCAATTCATTTGGCAGGATAACCAATTGGAGTGATAAAACCATCAAACAGAAGAGCAACATGAATGAAAAACTTATGCAATTTGTAAACTTTAGTTTAAAATAAATAAAAATTAAAACCGAAAATTATCATAGTAAATGGACAAACAACTGTGCTAGTGTTATCTTTTATACAATTTTCGAGTAAATTCCATTACAAACTGATGCAATCATTTAACAATCAAGAAGAATGTGTGAAAAAGTTTAACTCATATTATCTGGGATTAGACTAATGACAATGATAATGATGATGCCAAACTTTAAAAGATTTTCATACAGAGGCATGCACGAAGGAGGTGAAAAACCAGATCCATCAACATTCAAGGAGAAGCATAATAATAAAAAAATGGGACCATGATAGAATGATTACTAGGGATTTCATGAACCAATATACAAAATAAGACATTCATGTCTACTCATCATTTAGAGCTGTCAAACCAATTGAGGGCACAAATTATTCTTATCTAACGCAGCAAAATTTAAAAATTGCAATTTTAAATACTAACCAGAAAAGCATAGTTAAAAGAGCACAAGAACTTGAAATAATAAATAATACCTCCGGAACATCTGAAACTGTTGCTGCTCTAGCCTCAGCAGCGTCCAACTTTACAACGAGCTCTCTCTTCTCAAGCTGAAGCTCCTTGTTCTTCCTCCTAAGCTCTACAACTTCGACCTCAAGCTCTTTAAGATCTTTGAGCTGCTTCTGCACTTCTGCATCCTTTTTAGTGGCATCCTGCTCCTTGGATTGGAGACTGGTAACCTGCTGTTTCAGGACAGCAGGAGCAGTTGCATTCTAGTTTGGTTAGCATCATTCTGGATTTGCCTTTGCAGCTCCTTAATCTTGTTTCTAGCAACCTCCAGTTCTTTTTTGGCCTCATTGCCCTTTGTAATCTCTTCCTGAAGCTTCTTCCTCTCGGTCTGCAAAGAGTTAACAGCGGCATTGAGCATGTCTATCTCTACATTCTTGATCTTAAACTGTTTTTGCAACTCAGCAGCATCTTTTTCCTGCTCTTTTAAGCCATAGCACTCCAGCAACTCTCCTTCTAGCTTCGCTTCCCTCTCTTCCAATTCCTTTACTAAGTTTCGAAGAGTCTCTAGTTCAGAAGCATAGTTTGCCTTCTCTGTATCAAACTCTAAATTAGGCTTTATATCATACTTGACACTGGATACTGGAACCTCCATCTCTCCAAAAAGAAGGCTCTCAAACTCAGGCAAAAATTCCTCATCATCTTCAACGCCTGAAGGAATTAAATTGATCTGCGGTGCGTTTATTACACCGCTGATAGTCTTGACATGTTCCTCTTCTTTTTCCTCTTCCTGTAAAAACGAGAGAAAATCTCTTCAGCAAACACATATCATTCAATCTTCAAATGCTGTTTTCAATTAGGCTAGTTTATACCGTTGTTTGGCAGAACCTAGCATTTCCTTGCTGCTCTGTTTGTGCCTTCTCAAGCAATTCTGGCTCTTCCTCTCCCTTGTCATTCTCTGTCGTCAGATTTAAAAATGTAAATAAGAAAAATATAGACTTCAACATAGGATGGAGCTAATTTGACGTTTTCTAATTAAAATTTTAGTAACTCGAAAGCTTTACCGCTTTACATAACTGCATACCTGAAGGATTTAACGCCGGTGGCTTTGGACAATTTGCCTGCTTCACTGCATATGCTGCAACGGAGGCAGCAACGATGAACCCTAACCTAAATAGCATGAAGAGATGCTAGAAAGAAATCCTTCTTTATTCATAACTTCGGGAGAACACAAAGCATCAAAACTTCTGATAAGAACATCAAAAACATTGAAGGGAACTGAGCGAAGAAAGCAAGGTTCCCATAAATATCTAACACACGAAATTTGTTTACATTATCGTCATGTATCTAATGGATAGAAGAGCAGAGCACCTCTAATTAGAACAAGAGTGTTACCCACCGGAATATGTGGCTAGCGTTGTCCCTGCTTTCTTATAATACTAAACTTTGTCATCTCTGTAAACTTAGAAGTTCTCTGACCCACGAGAATTTCCTGTAGGATAAGATCATCCTATGATGCTGACAAGCCATCGACATCAACGGAAAAATAAACATGAAAATACCAGCGCGCAGTTAACTGAAAGAAGAGCCCTGGCAGTCCTATGCCCCTGGCTTTCAAGACCACCAGGTAAGATGCACCAACAGCTCTATTATATTGCACGTAATGTTTTTACCTGACCATTGAAACCAGTTGCTGATGGCTGTCTACTTTTGTTTTGGAAGTAGAAGTGTGATAGTGGGAGCAAGACATAGGGCATGTGAGAGGCCTATCCCTTGGAGAATTACATCCATCAATTTGGGTGTGAGAGGCCTATTTCTTTGGAGAGTTACATCCATCAATTTGGCTGGGGCCTACCGTGGGTGAATGTATGCAGCTATATCCATGAAACATGGGTCTCATAACCGTAGAAATATTACATGCGGGTATATTGCGTGCGGGCTAGGTGCAAATTGGTGGTTTTCAAATGAATACCACTCCAATACCACTGATCCACATGTAATATTTGCTCCTCATGAAGCCACTTCAACAATTATTTAGCTTGCTATTTATTAAATTGATGCAATGTTTACCAATACCGGCTGAGTGGAAGAAGCACTTTTGTTTTTCCCACAATCGAGGCGATTGAAATATCCCTTATGGGATATAGCAATCAAGAAGGGAAATTCCTGAAGCTTTCGTGTTCACTAAGGAGGAAAGAGCAAGCTATGATGCCTTGAGGTAAGTAGGGATCAACCTCATTCGTTATACTTCTCTTGGTTTTTTTATGAGCATGCCAAAAGGTGAGGATGTGGAACGAGGTAAATTTATATTATTTATTGCAGTATCATGCCATCTCTTTTATTTATCATGATATTATGCTTGAAAAAGGTATTTTTGGGGTGTTATAGAAGAGACAGGGTTTATGCCACTTGGAAAAGGAAAAGAGCATATTGAGGAGCCAAAATTATAAAAAATTAATATTTTAGATAAGAGGTCAAACATTTGTATGCACGCATGCACATGCACACACACATGAACTTACACAACTCCACACCTCTGCACACACATGCACACGCTCTGACTTGAGTGCTAGCACACACCCATGACACTGCACATGCTCACTCACATCACTGCATGCACTATTCCATAATGCATTGCATTTATACGTAACCGCACGTGCATATGTTTACCTGCACCCGACATACTGCCAAAACACAAAATTTTGGATTTTGACCAATTTAGAGATTTTGGATGTCTATTTTGGACATATAATGCAACACCTAAGTATTTAAGCTTATTTTTGGCATTATAGGAGTTTTTTTTTTTTGCATTAAGGGCTGAGCCTTTAGGGCTTAGGTAAGTGTTTTAGAGCTTTTGGAGTTTCATCCTCATGTTCACTCGAGTGATTATGTTCATATTTATTCACATTTTTCATATTTTTTGAGGGGTTTAATGATATTGTATGGTGAGATTGAGTGAATATGTATGAATGAGATCTATAGATATTTGTATTGTTTAGACAGGACAACAAGGTATTTCAAGGATCGTTCAGTTCTATAGTGTGTTTCTTGTTCTTCTTGTGTTGAATAATTTTATTCCCACAATAGAAAATTTCATGTTTCCTTTCCCATCACACTGTAGCTAATAGTATTTCTCTTTGTTTTATTTAATGGTTTTTTATTCCTTCGACATCTTTTTCATCCAATAATTTTGTATGTTGACGTGTCAAATTTTCAATCTTAATTTACTTCGATTCAAAAAGATGGAGTATTAAAATTACTTGTGATCTTGAACTTTTATCTGTTTCTTAGAAGAATGAGTAGGTTAACAAACAAAAACCTAGAAGAGTAGGGATGCTCTAGTTAGGATTATGTAACCTAGATTGGGGATCAAAAGAATTCTGAGAAATACCATAAGGTTGAACAATAAGTAGGAGCTGTCAATTTTTCTTTTGACCTAGGTATAGGATTAATAAGAATAGTTTTATTCATGGTTTTCAACCATAGCCTGAGTTCCATAGAAAAACTTCAATAATCCACCTAACCAATGTCACTGGAGTGCTAATCTTGCATATTTAAAAAGCTCAACACTTTTTCACATCATTTATCTTTACAACAACTTTATGAATATTAAATTCATCTATTGAATTTAATCACTTCAAACAAGACTTGGCGTTTTAGTGAAATAGAACTTGGCTTGTTAGACAAATTTTGCAATATTCTAATAGAATTGATATCATAACTAGTTTCTTCATAATACCTGATTGACACATTTATTTGTGTGTGTGATTGATCGACTTACTTCGCAAAAACTTCAGGTATCCTATTTTGGTGTCATTGTCGAGAAAAAGCGTTAATAATCATTCTGATATGAGCAAAACTTTAGTAGATAAACTTAGAATTTTGATATGACAATATTTATTTTATGTTATTTCCTTTTTTTTCTTTTTTTATTGTTTTCATAGTTAATATTTACATTTCCATTGTTATTATGTGTTTTCTTGTAGGTGCTAAAAAAATTGAAATTGAAAAAATTATATAAGAACTAGAAAGTTAAAAATATTTGGTTTCAGTATGTTTTTTATTTTTTTTGCATGTGGTGTCTGCTTTGCATGTTTGCCTTTTGAAGGACTCATATGGGTCTTGTTGACCTCATTTTTTATCAACCCTATTTTTCTTGAATTAAGCTTGATTATACCTCACATAAGCTTGGTATTTAGCGAACCCTGAATTAAAAAAAATTGAGTTTGTAACTAAATAAAATAAAAATTAAATCAAAAAAAACTTTTAACACAATCAATTTTAACTAAACTCAGAGATAACACTAAAAAACAACTTTAACCACTAAAACACTATGATTTGTGTTTTCTCTTTTGGGATCATTTTATAACTCAAGCATTCTTCTTGAAAGGTACGTAAGGCCTATTATTACTTATAAATGCCATGAAAATAAAATTGACGATTATTTGGAAAATTTTTTACATAAAATTTTCACTTGGGGTTTCCATGCATGAAAACTGGTCTTACAAAGAAGTTTTAACGAGTCAAACAGACTTCTCTAATGCATCCAAATTGTCAAAATCTTTTGAATAAGTGCATCTGTGCTTGAATTTGACTCAATTATGAAGCTCGTTATACCGACAATAATCATAAGAGATAAAAAATGATAAATTTGATAAAGGTAATTTGACCACAACCACCTCAAAATGACTTCAAATCAACCTATGATTTCAACAAATATTGTTCAAAATTAAAAATATACATAATTTATAATAATACAATCAATGAACTTTTTTTACTCAAAATCCATCATTTTCTTTCTCTTAAGGCATTGGGCCCACTTTGTCTGATCATATATTTCAATAGAGTTTTAGTTAGCCAAAACCTCTTAGCACATAAATCCTTGAATTTTCTCTTTCAAATGAGCCCAAGTCAATTATTTGGTTGTAACCAACTTTTAACCTCCTTGTAATCACCTCCCCAACCTCCTAGCCTCTTTAAACGCTTATATCTTGAGCTAGAGAACTTTTTTGAACTGGCTAGAACTACTTGATTGCTTGTATCATCCTATTCAAAATGTGCTATACTTTCATTTTTACGTAGTACAAAAACTACCCATGAAAAATTACTATTTTTCCCCAATCCTCCACAAAAATGACATGTTTACCCCTTTAATCCGTCACCGTCTCTCCTCCACATCATCTCAAATCCTCACCATTAATTTCAAATCCCATTTAACCTTTCTAATACTAGACCTCCCTTTACATAACTGCTTTTGCTCCCAATTCCCCCAATATAACTTCCTAGTCATGACCCCCATCGTCCCCCACTCCTCCCATTTTCAATTTCAGGCTTCCTTCCCTCTATATTCTCCATTCCAAACAAAAATCGAGACCTCCTTTCTCTTTGCCAAGACAGAAACTGAATTCTCTCTTAAATTTTTCCATCAGATTGTGGGATTCCAAGCAAGGATAAGGCAAAGAAGAAGGAGAAAGGAAGATCTTCAAGCAAAGAACACACCAATCTAGGAGATCAAACAATAAAGAAGGAATAAATCTCTGTTTCACCTTACAGATTTTTTATTCTCACCATTAAATTCTCAAAACTCTCATAGTACACGTTAGTCAATGTTCATGTTTATTTCTAAAAATTAATCCATGAATTTAAATATTCTTGATATATCACATGATTTTCCATAAATTTCCTTAAAATTTCTGTGTCCTTTCAAAATTTTTAGATTTTTCTATCCAAATCATTAGGTGTTTGTAATATGTATGTCTTAAGTTAATTTCATGAGCATATCGTGCATGCTTCATGGTAGAATTTGGATTGTTCTTTTTAATATGTTATGCATGTCAAATGTATTCTTTTTCGTGAAATTCCATTGAGAGTTTCATTGTTTCATGTATTATTATGTTAGTTGCATGTTTACACCTTCCAAATTATCAATACCAATAACAATCACCCATGTTCTACATTAATTTTGAAATTTCTTTTACGTTTGTCTGTTTTACAACTAATGCTGATATTTTGATAAATTTCCATAGGGGATTTGATTGTCATTTGTTCTATTATGTCAATTGCTTGTTTAGTCTCAACCTAAACTCTACAAAATCCATGAACTGAGCACTTAACCCTACTTAATACTTTCCAATTACCTTCTCCTCTATTAAAATACCTAAACTGTAATTAAGCCATTAATCTACTAATTGATTCTTAAATTTTCTTAAGCAACTCATTAATTAAAGAAAGGAATTATAAAATTCACTTAATTAATTTAACAAATTAGTAAAAGAGCTAATTAAACTTGTCATTTACTAACCAAATCATTAATTACTTAAATGCAAGCTAAATGAATTTAATTAACCCTTAATTACTCAATTTAGTA